ATATATATGGTCATGTGGAATGTGGCAATGAGAACGAGACAGAAACAACACAGTGCCAAGTGAAAGGAGGAAAATAGGAGATGAGATGGCCACTATAATTTAACACGTGAGATTATGAATGAATATGAACAGAAGAAAGCATGCATAAATGAAAATGATCATGCTAGGTTAGGATTAAGATGAGTCCTTTGAAATGGTCAGGTAGCACACTTAATGTGTCAGTGGCTAGCAAGAGAAGGCAAGTTTAAAAATGTATTTGCAATAGAAAAGACACTTAAGAACCTAGCTCCTGATTACCAGAGTGTATGTTTCTCTCTGGGAAAGGATCGGTCTTCAACGGTCTAGGAAAAGAAATTGTTCTTGGTTCTTGAATGCCATCATAGGAATGTGGCTGTGTGTTTTGGTCTGACCCGTGCCAGTTGGACCCCACATTCCCCCAGCCATCCAGGAACAAGAGTACCTGATAGCAGGCTGTTTGGAGGTGTGGCACCTCTCATGCCCATCCAGCTACTGCCTCACCTGGGGCTCCTGCCACCTCATCTCTCCCAGCAGGCCCCCACCCTGCCGGGGTACCTACCAGCCTCGTTTTGATTGGAGGGTACATGCAAACTCCAGTGGTCTCTTCCTTCATGGGGAGAGAGAGTGGAGGAGAGCAGCGAGAGTGGGCACAGTGGGGGCTGCTGGCGGACTCTGCCTGCTCATGAGGAGAGGAGGAGAGAGGGGGAGGAGGAGGTGGTGAGATGGGAGGAGAAAGAGGAGATAAGGGAGGAAAAGGAGAGAAAGAGCACAGTGCAAGACAGATCTGGCAATCCACACTGTTCTCAAGCCAGCATCACCAGCAGCCTCTTTCCAGACTGCTGACTGCCACTCCCACCCACCGCCCTTCTCTCTCAGCCTCTCTCCTCCTTTTTGGCCTTCAGCTCTCTTCTCCAGCCCATGAGTAGAAAGACAGATCAAATCCCCTTCCCAGGGATGGCAGGGCCAGGCTGTTTCCTGTGCGAGGCACACAGGACTGGGAGCAGCTTCCCTAGAGCACCACCAGGGTTCTGAAGCATTGCCCAGGCCAAGTCATGAAGAGTGCCATGAATTAGCGATTTCAGCCATGGGAGCAATACACGGGCTGGCCACACACTTGAGAGCATTTGCCTTCCATGCCTGGTGCCCACATACCCTCAGCCAAAGACGGGCGCTGCCTGTGGTGTAGAGGTGAGTAGGTGTCAGCAGAGGATGCCAGGAAAGAGCTACATCCCCCAGAACAGAGTTCAGGATTTCATCTGTCTGGCTCTCAGCCATCTGGATTCAGAACAGACTGCCTGCCCCTGACCCACATTCCACACCCATCAGCCCAGGCTTGGGCACATCCTACTGAAAGTGGGGTACCTTGATGTTCAGCTGTAAGACACACTAAGTTTTGTGGGAAAAGTGTTATACCCTTGGGCAGCTTTCCCACCCTGGTCTTGAAGAATGCCATGTGCCTCGAAGAGGTCCAAAAGCTTGTTCAGGTGAGGATGAAGATGGCAAACAGAGGCGCTCAGTGTTAGGAAAAGGGGACTGCTAAAGGGTTAGTGTGGGTCTCAGGGAGGGACCACTCATTCCAGAGAACAAAAACATGCATCTTTTAACTCAAGAAACTTGGTGCCATCCCACTGTATTATAATACAGCCTCTGGGCAGGTTTCTTTGAAAAATGATTGAGGAAATTACAGGCCCCTTTTCCTTCTCTAAATTGACCCAACTCTGTCCTCTGACAATCCGGAGCTGACCAGCCGCCACAGGGCTTTCCTATCCATCACCTCCCAGCAGCTCTCTTTCACATTCACATTTGGGAGACACAGAAATTACGTTTGCAAAATCAGAATACGGGGTTCTACCCCCTCTTTGTTGATTATTTCTAAGACTTTTCTTCAGAGACAAGTGAATCCATTATTAGTCACCTGCAGTTAAGGTTTATCAGCCTTATCAGCCTACTTAAAATCCTCCCACTGTTCTCTATGGTCCTCAGAAGAAATCCTACCTTCTTAAGAAGGTACAAAGCATGCCTTGTCGAGGCTGGCTCACACACCCTCAAGAATCAGTTCCCACCACAGCCCCAGGGTGTCCATTCTCCAATTAGAACCAGCTGAGGACATCTCACATATAGCCCCACATCCAAGCCCCTGGGCCTTTTCACCTGCTAATAGCAACAGGCACTTACTGAAGGAAATAAAATCTGGTATGATTTTATCATGGCCATATTGTCTAGAGGCCAGAATGTGGACTCGAAGATTATCAGAAATGACTTAAGGCTTTGCCCAGCATTGGAATTTCATGGCAAATGCCGATCTTTACCCAAGTACTTCTGGCCTTTCTAAATAAGTATTTGAGTGGATTTAAGACAAGGAACATCCCAGGATTCCTAATAAATTCACACCCCTGACTCTTAGTAAATTTGAAGGAAATAAAATATTAATAACGTGTGACTGGATGCTATTTGGATATACCAATCTGGGTCTTCTTTTCTCCTGCTACTTCCTTTCTTCCTTCTTCCCTCTTGATAGATATCTGACATTTAGAATGTGAGGATTTGGAAGAATGGAAAGAGAAAAGTCAGGCAAAATAAGAGACGATGTTACAGAGTACTGAGCAACAAGGGGCCCCTTCTCCATGGACTGAAGCTGGGAACAGAGACTAAAGAGCAGTGAAGACCTCGGTCAAGTAGAGCTAGGAAGGCAGGAGGTCCCAGGACAAGATGGCCTCAGGACAGAGTGATATCCAGCAGTGGGGAAGGTACAGAGATTTCCACCTACTCAAAAGGATCACAAAAGATGCAGAGCATCTTACATGTGTCTGTGAATGATGACACTGTAGACTGCAGAATTCTCTCCACCCTCCCTGGGTGAGTATAGATGTGACACAGGGAGACAGAAAGGTCCCTGATTTGGCTTGAAATTGAGGTCTAGCTAACCTAAAAGGATAAAGTTCAAAATAAATACTAAGTTGTTCAACCAAGTGGAAACCCAGTTCTAACACCCAACCCAGGGCCTGATCCTATGTCCCACATGGCCTTCCTCTGACCAGACAAACGTCTCCCAGTCATGTACACTTTTCTCTAACATGCCAGGTACCACAATGCTTTAGCTGTACTTTGTAGCCATACAGATGAGTGGTTCACAAGGTGCAGAGCTCAGGGAGGATACAGCTCATAGAGAAAGCATCAGGCACACAGAGGGCACAGGTGTTTCTAGTCTGTTACCAGGAGGAGAAAGGCTGTCTGGAAAACCTGGAGTGAGGCAGGATTCTGCATCCTTAGAAGTCAACATTACCAGTATGTAAGTGTACCTTCCAGAAAGTTCCTTTCCTCAAGGAGCATCAAGGCTCAGAACTCCTAGGCCAGAGGTAGTACTTCTTCCTCCAGGGAGGACACGCCGCCGCCACTGTGGCTATGAACTCAAAGGTGCAGAAGCTGGAGTTGGGCAGGTCTAGAGCTGGAAAGGCCATAAGGCTTTGGGCTACTAAACACAATACAAGAGTCTGAGATTAGAAGAGTCAGGGGAAAGAATGGGAGGGAAAGTACTACAAAAATAAGGTTGGACAGAGTTTCTGTGGTGTTTGAGGATGCGAATCATGGAGGAGGGCAGGATGCAAGACAATGAAGGAGGGAACAGACCCAAAGTGTATCAGGGTGCTGATTTGATCTTGATTTTTGTTTTTTTGAGAGATTCCAGTTCAAGATGGAAGAGATCTTTGGACTCTTCTGGAACAGGGTGGAGAATAAAAAAATGATGGTTCTTTCTCACAGAACCTTGATGCAACATGTCTGAAAGAAAGCAAGGAACATCTATCTGGTCCTATTTTTCCCCTCCCATTTGTTCTGGCTGGAGGATTATGAGGGACTGTGGGACTCTCAACCAGAGGAGAGAGGGAATGAGACTCAGGCTGGGAGCTTGGAAGGGGGTTAGAGAAAAAGCATTCTTTCAGGAGGTAGGTCACTGGTTGTGTGATGAGTGTCACTCAAGAAGTTCTGACACGGTTGCCTGGTAAAGTTCTACTTTCTCTTTAGAGGGGAGGAGGATCCAGAGAGAATAGCCAGGGACTAAGGGCATGGAGCTGGCAGCTGAGGAACGGTGCCTTATCCAGGCTGAGTCTCTTAAATTACAGATACCAATCTCATAGGGCAACTCCAGGACCCAACTTGAGCTTCCCCCAAGCCTTGCCTGTGGTGATAGGGCTGAGATCGGGGACCTGACCAGTCTCAAGAAATGGGTACTGTTCAGGGGAAAAGAGAGACGCATTCTGACTCCAGTCACCTGCCATGAGACCTGGGTTTTAGTTATAACCATGACCCAGACCTGTTGTGCAATCTGAAACAAATGCCTAGCTCAGTCTAAGCCTGGGATTCTCCATCTGCAGGGGAGGAACAGGATGAAGAGGTCCCAAGGCTCCATTCCCTCTGGCAGGCTAGATGCAAGTCAGGCATGGGACTGTGCTTGCCTTGAAACACTCTGCCATCAGGTCCAAGACACTGAAATGAGCACCATTACTGACACAGAAGTGCTTGGGAGCCTACCTGGGAACAAGTTTCCCAGTTCCAGATACTGAGTCCACTCTTTCTCCAGCTGTCCAACAGCGAGATGACAAGGCTAATGCTCTTTAGGAAAAGGGGAAGGAGGAAAGGGGACCAGATAAAGGAAGAAGCAGACTACCCAGTCACCTCTTCCTCCCTCAGACTCTTTGGCACTTATGGAACATAGGATTCATTTGGAGCATGGAAAGGTCAGATCTGATAGTGCCAGGAAACATTGCAGGACACCTCCTCCCAAGTCCCCCCATATACGAATACTGGTGCCTCAAGACATCCTGAATATACACGGTCACTGCCAGCAGCACTGGGTGCCTGCGTCTCAGTGTAGCCCAAGGACCTTAGCTGTTCTCACAGTGCAGCACCCTGAACCCCATTCCTCAGCTAAGTCAGAGCTGTCCAAAGATGTGGACGGGTGTCCAAGGTGAGTGAGTGGTGACAGCAATTAACGGGGAACAGTCACTTGGCAGACATGTACACCTCTGAAAATCCCTGCCACATGCTGCTTCCTTCCTAACCCCAGTTCGCAATATCTCAGCACCCACATAGCAGCTAATAACTGTCCACAACTCCAGTTCCAGGGGATCTGATGCTCTCTTCTGGCCTCTGCAGGCATTGCCAAATATGAATCAACTTACATGCATGCAGGCAAAACACTCATACACATAAAATAAATAAATAATTTTTAAAAAAGAAAAAATTGACCCCAGTATTTAGATTTACCAAGCCGTTCGCAATATCTCAGCACCCACATAGCAGCTAATAACTGTCCACAACTCCAGTTCCAGGGGATCTGATGCTCTCTTCTGGCCTCTGCAGGCATTGCCAAATATGAATCAACTTACATGCATGCAGGCAAAACACTCATACACATAAAATAAATAAATAATTTTTAAAAAAGAAAAAATTGACCCCAGTATTTAGATTTACCAAGCCTTTTAATAAATAAATACTTAGTTTTTTGTTCATGCTGTGCTTTTAAAAAATTTTTTAGCTTTATTTT